CTGCGGGTCTCTACGGGGCGCACGTGGAGGCTTCGACTGGCGATCGAGGAACTTTTGAAGCGCGGGCGTTGTTCGGGCGGGGTCTTGGAGGCGGTGCTGGGCCATGTCGCGTGATTGATGCTGCTACAGAGACCTACCTTGTCCATCTTCTGCGCGGTCTACGCCTTCGCGCAGAGGCACAAGCGAGAGGTCGCGCCGCTCTGGGACGCGGTGATCGAGGAGCTCAAGCTCGACGGGGACCTGCTCCCGTTGTTCGTGGCCCACACGGACGCCAAGTGGTTCTCGTCAGTGACAGCCAGTGACGCTTCGCCGTGCGGCTGCGGCGCGTGCGTGCGCCAAGCGGGCCCAGAGCTGGTCGCACGCTGGGGCCGCGCAGCGGAGAAGTGGCGCTACAAGCAGAGCGCCGCTGCTGCCAGGAGCCATGCATTTGCAGCTGCCGTCGCGGAGACTACTTGCGCGGATGACGTCCCCGACAGCCTTCGCCAGGCCGACGAGTTCAAGAAATCGTATGACATGGTCGAGTTCGAAAACATGCTGTTGGTAGGTGGTGATGATGATCATCAGCAGCACCATCTACCAACAGCATGTTTTTACCAACGCGAGGTTTTCCTTTGCCTTCCAGGTTTCTTCAACTTCCGCGCGCATGTTCTGGCCATCGTATGCACCAGCGCCGCCGCATCGCCATCGTTCCCATCATCGTCCATCGCCGCCTGTGCCGCCATCTCCAATCAACCCCTGTGCATCACCGAAACATGGGCATCATCATCGCCATCGTCGTCACCAGCATCGGCGCCGTCATTCGCCTTGCCGTCGTCATCGTCATCATCACCAGCATCGCTACTATCATCATTGCCGCCGTTGCTGGCGTCATTTTGAGAACGCGCACGCCCGAGCAACCGACCTGTATTGGAGTGCCCGTGCGCCAGCATGGGTTCTAAGACGCGTTGGGGATTGGCATCGGTATTTGAATTCCGTTATTAAACGTGGGGGGGGGGGGGGGGGAAACGTCGTGGGAGGGCCGCGCCGGAGAAAATCATACCAGGGCCAGCGAAAATGATTCAGCATTTTGAGACCGTGGCTGATGATGCGGATGGTGATGATCATTGTGATCATATTCGTGCTGATGGTTAATGAGATGAGGCGATGTTAGTGACGATGGCGCCCGGATATACCTGTGCTGAACACGGGTTTTTGTTAGTACGATGCGTACGATTACGATACTGATGATGGCGATGGTGATATCATGTAATGATGATGGTGACGCTGGTACTGATATGATGATGGTGATGATGGCGATGACGATTTTGATAGCACGGATGATGATTGTGATGGTATGTGGTTGTGCTGTTATATTTTGTATGATCACGATGGATACGATTGCTATGCCGATACGGATGATAACGATACTGAGTATGAGGCCCCACGCCGGCCCCGCGGCGGCCCAAACAGACACCTCAGACGACCACGAAGGCCCAAGAGACTCCCAAGACGGCCAACGATGGCTTCACGAGGGCCCGTGCGACCCCCAAGAGTGCCTCGAGAGGCTCAAGAGCCCAAAGACGAACCAGAATATGACGAAACAGTCCATACTCCATGCGTTAATCGGCGCTGGCGAAAATTAGGCAGGCATGCCGCGAGGGCCGGCGGAAAATATTCTGCGAATCCCAAAGCCGGCGAAAATTCAGCTGGGACCCAAAAGCCATACCGGTGACAATTAAACCACCCACGTTTAATAACGGAATTAGAGAAAGCGCATCGCGGTCGCATCCGTTGTGCGAGGCCACTTGGCCGTTGCGCGCGCGAGTTTATGCGCGAAAGTGTGGCCGTAGAGGTGCGCCAGCCGGTGCCAAGCAGCCATTGCAATCGCAGCCGCATGGGTTGTGAAAACAGTTTGTGGCTGGGAGGGTGGGATGATTGCGCGAGCAGTGGGGTTGAAGGCTACAAGCTCTGCCAGGTGGGGCGCGCCATTTAGATTGCACGACGAAGATTGCACCGCATAGGTCGCACGGCATATATTTTCTTTTCTAGAAAGAAATAGGTTCTACCACCCTCCCCCCCCGGGGGTTCAACACCCCCCAGGAACCGATGCACAACACATAGGATTCTGACCCTATGTCCATCCCATCTGCGAATTCATACTATCCCGGCCAGGCCGGTATCGACCCCCCCCGCCATCTTTTTTACAGAAAATCATATGCGCGCGCACTCGTTTATGAAAATTTGCAAGTTTTCAAGGATCCGTTGCAACAAATGGAACAGAGTGCGCACGCGCGCGTCGTCGCGCGCGCATGCCAGAATGTTTCAAAAACCTTCGGTGTCGGAAGGATTCCTGATATCGAATATCTTATAACGAATATATGCAGAAACGAAGGGTTTCGCAAAACGAGTTGTCTAACAAAGATTGCGCGCGTTCTTGCGAAATCTCAGGGAAACCATCGGCTTCTCAAGCTTTTCAAAACATGCTACCACACGGTCTTCGAGCGCGCGCACGTCGGAATCTTTCGAACGCCCTTGCGTGCGAACCTTCGCGAGAATCCTCTGCAAAAGATGTGACGAAGTGCACACACACGCGCGCGCGTCGTCGCGCGCGCATGCCGGAATGCTTCAAAAACCTTCGGTTTCGGAAGGATGTTCAAAATCGAGTGTTCAAACATCGGTACAAAAACGCAGGGTTTCGCAACGCGGATTTTCAATAAAAGCGTGCGCGCGCGCTCTTGCGTCGTCGTCGTCGTCGTCGTCGTCGTCGTCCTCCCTCCTCCCTCGTCGTCGCCGTCGCCGTCGCCGTCGTCGTCCTCTGTCTTTCCTCGTCGTCGTCGTCGTCCTCTTCGGCGTCGTCGTCGTTTCCGTCGTCGTTGTCGCCGTGGTCGTCCTTCCTCCTCCCTCGGCGTCGTCGTCGTCCGTCGTCGGCGTCTCGTCGTCGTCCCTCCTATTTCGTCGCCGTCGTCGTCGTCGTCGTCGTCTTTCCTCCTCCCTCGTCTTTGTCGTCGTCGGCGTCGCGGCCCTCCCTACTTCTTCGTCGTTCGCGTCGTCGCCGTCTCCCTCCTCCCTCGTCGTTGTCGTCGCTGTTGCCGTCGTCGTCCTCCCTCCTCCCTCGTCGTCGTCGTCGTCGTCTTCGTTGGCGACGTCGTCGCCGTCGCCGTCGTTGTCGTCTTCGTCGGCGTCGTCGTCTTCCCTCCTCCCTCGTCTTTGTCGTCGTCGGCGTCGCCGCCCTCCCTACTTCGTCGTTCGCGTCGTCGCCGTCCTCCCTTCTCCCTCGTCGTTGTCGTCGCTGTTGCCGTCGTTGTCCTCCCTCCTCCCTCGTCGTCGTCGTCGTCTTCGTTGGCAACGTCGTCGCCGTCGTTGTCGTTGTCGTCTTCGTCGGCGTCGTCGTCGTCATCGGCGTCGTCGTCGTCGTCGGCGTTGTCATCGTCGTCGTCGGCGTCGGCGTCGTCGTCGTCGGTGTCGTCGTCGTTGTCGTCGTCGTCGAAGTCGTTGGAGACCTCGTCGGTGTCGTCGTAGTCGGTGTCGGTGGCGTCGTCGTCGTTGTCGTTGCCGTCGTCGGCGTCGGTGTGTTAACAAGTGCCATTCGGTACCTACCGTCACGGTCTGAAGAGGTCTTGCGACCAAGTTGCGATTGGGAGGGTGGGATGTTTGCACGAGGAGTGGAGAGGACAGTTTCAAGTTGAGCAAGTCGTTGATTGCATCACACATAAAATGCACCACGTAGTGCGAACCGCGTAGCTCCTACCACATATATATATATATATATTGCACCGCGTAGCATGCACCGCGCACCTCACACCACACGGTTTGCATTACATGTGTGGCATCACGAAGTTCACGCATCACGGTAAACGCCTCATACACCACATTCCGTAGGTCGCATCGCGTAGATTACGCATCCGCAGTGCAACATCTCATTGCTAGGGGTCCACGGTGGTAAACATTGTTCCCAATAGAAACATTCGGGGTGTTTCAAACTCGTACCCCCGCTACGACCAACGTTTTGCCCCCGTCGTTCAGGGTGGCGCTCTCGCCCAAGTGCGGGTCACCTTTCTGGGCCCTCCTTCTTCCTCCACCTCCTCTTCCGCCTCCTTCCCCTCATCCGCCTCGTCGTCCTCCTCCTCCTCCTCCTCCTCCTCCTCCTCCTCCCCCTCCTCCTCCTCCTCCTCCTCCTCCTCCCCTACTCCGCCTTGCCCTTGTCCTGTTGTTCGTCCCGCTCCGCCCGTTCCTGCTTCTGCTGCGAGGTGTTCCTTCTCGTCGCCGTCCTCTCTCTTTTTATTATTATTATTGTTAATGCTCGAATGTGCACGGTTTTCTTGGTTCGATTGTGCATTGCACGATGGTGCGTTCGAAAGGTTTTGATCCGCGAATAGACCCGTCCGGCCACAGAACATGGCAGCAGTGAGAGAGGATGGTAGGGATGGTGGGATGACAAGCGCGGCGCGAGCACACTTAGATTGCCCTCTCCCTTTTCCTCTCCTTCGCCCCCTCCACATCCCTCCTCGTAGTCCTCCTCCTCCCCCTAATCCTACGTCTCCCTCTTTCCCTGTCTCCTCCTCGTTCTCCTGCTTGTTCGTTTCCTCGTTCTCCTGCTTCTCGTGTTTTTTTTTCCCCCTCCCCCTCCCTCCTCCTCCTCCTCCTCCTCTCCTCCTCCTCCTTCTCCTCCTTCTCCTCCTCCTCATCCCTCCTCCTCATCCTCCTCCTCCTCCTCCCCCTATTCCTCCACCTCGCCCTCGCCCCTCCCCCCCTCCTCCTCCTCCTCCTCCTCCTCTCCTCCTCCTCCTCCTCCTCCTCCTCCTCCTCCCCCTCTTCCTTCTTTTTCTTTCCTCCTCCTTTTCCTCATTCGCCTCCTCCTTTTCCTCATTCGCCTCCTTCTCCTCCTCCCCCTCCTCATCTTCCTCCTCTTCCTTCTTTTCTCTCCTCCTCCTCCTCCTCCGCCTCCTCCTCCCGGTTGGCTCAGGCAGGGCGGCGGAGGCGGAGCCGCCCTTGCCCGGGAATCTCCGGGGCGGCCCCCGCAGGACCGAGATGCTGCTCCGCGGCCAGCCCCCGCCAGAGGACGAGGAGGAGGACCGCCCGCGGGGTGCTCGCCGATCTGCTCGTCGAGGGCTCTCCTGGTCTGGAAGAGCCCCGCCGCCTTCCGAGAAGGCCTTTTCCCTCCTCCTCCACCTCCCCCTCCTCCTCCTCCTCCTCCTCCTCCCCCTCCTCCTCCTCCCCTCCCTGCTCCTCCTCATCCTCCTCCTCAGGCCTTCCTCCTCCCTCCTCCTCCTCCTCCTCCTCCTCCTCCTACTCTCCTCCCTACTCCTACTCCTACTCCTTCCTTCTCCTCCTCCTCCTCCTCCTCCCTCCTCCTCCGCCTCCTCCTCATCCTCTCTCCTCTCCTCCTCCTCCTCCTCCTCCTCCTTCCTCCCCTTCTCCCTTCCTCCTCCTCCTTCCTCCTCCTCCTCCTCCTCCCTCCTCCTCCTCCTCCTCCTCCCCCCCCCCACCCTCCTCCTCCTACTCATCCCTCTCCTCCTCCTCCTACTCCTTCTCCTCCTCCTCCCTCCTCCTCCGCCTCCTCCTCCTCCTCCTTCTCCTCCTTCTCCTCCTCCTCATCCCTCCTCCTCATCCTCCTCCCTTCGTCCTCCTTCTTCTCCCCTTCCTCCTTCTCCTCCCTCCTCCTCCTCCTCCTCCTCCTCCTCCCCTCTCCTCCTCCTCCTCCTCCTCCTCCTTCTCCTGCTCCTCCTCCTCCTCCTGCTTCTCCTCCTCCTCATCCTCATCCTCCTCCTCCTCCTCCCCCTCCTCCTCCTCCCAGGTTGGGTCGGAGCAGATGGGGTCGGAGGATCGCGCCGCAACTTCGATGCATCGACGATGCTGTTCGATGTGGAGCCCGTGTTTCCCTCACGCCGACGGCGCCGATGCATCGCCTCCGCCAGAGGACGAGGAGGAGGACCGTCCGTGGGGTGCTCGCCGATCTTCGAAGAAGAAATAACGACACATACATAAACTTTGGACGCTCCGCGCGGATTTCTGGAATCCGGATCCGCGCTGGGCCCCCCCCCCAGCAGCGCCTCCGGCGCCGCCACTGGCGCGCTCTGCGCGCCAGGGAGGGGGGCCCAGCGCGGATCCTAGAAATCCGCGCGGAGGGCCACAAGTTTATGTTTACGCCGCTCTCTCTTCTTCCAGGTCTGCTTCGATCGGGGGCGCCGCAGCGGAGGCCCCCCGTGGGTTCCCCCGAGGGCTCCAGGGGGGGTGGGGCGGGGAGCGGCAGGGGGAGGGGGGGGCGGGCGAGGGAGGAGCAGGCCGAGGAGGGCGAGGAGCCGACGAAGAGGGGCGGGCGTGGGTTTCCGGGGCGGGGGGGCGGCGGGCAAAGTGGGGGAGGAGGTGCGGACGCGGAGGGCGGACGAGGAGGGGTGGCGGACGAGGAGGAGGAGGGGCGGACGAGGAGGAGCGGAGGCAGCAGGATGAGCGGGGGGAAGGAGGAGGTAGGGGAGGAACGGGAGGGGCTCGAGGGGGCGGAGGAGGAGGAGGAGGCGGAGGAGGAGGAGGAGGGGGAGGGGGAGGAGGAACAGGAACAGGAGAAAAGAAGGTGACGAGCAAAAGGATGCTGTTAATGATGATGATGATGATGATGATGATGATGATGATGATGATGATGATGATGATGATGATGATGATGATGATGATGATGATGATGATGGTGATGGTGATGGTGATGGTGATGGTGATGGTGATGGTGATGGTGATGGTGATGGTGATGGTGATGGTGATGGTGATGGTGATGGTGATGTTGATGATGATGATGGTGATGATGATCGTGATGACGATGATGCTGATGCTGTTGCTGATAATGGTGTTAGTGATGATACAGGTGATGATAAGCATGCCGATGGTGATGGCGATGCTGAGTATGATGATAATGATGCTGATGATGATGAGGATGATGATGCTGATGATGGTGATTATGTTTATAATGATGGTGATGTTGATGGTGATACTGCTGATGATGATGATGTTGGTTATGATGCAGCTGCTGATGGTGATGATTATGATGCTGCTGATAATGATGCTGATGCTCATGCTCATGATGATGACGACACTGATGAAGGTGGTGATGCTGTTGATGTTGACGATGTTGATCGTGATGCCTCTGATGATGAAGATGATGATGCTGATGCTGATGTGTTTGCTGTTGTTGATGATGCTGGTGTTGCTGTTGATGATGATGATGCTGATGATGTTTACGATGATGCTGAGGATGCTGTTGTTGATGGTGAGTACGATGATGCTGATGATGATGCTGATGCTGCCCCGATGGTGCTGATGATGTTGATGCACGTACTGATGCTGATGATGATGATGCTTATTATGCTGTTGGTATGGCTGCGGATGCTGATTCTGCTGATGTTGATGTTGATGCTGATGGTGATGATGACGATGCTATGATGATGCTATTGGTCATGTTCCTGCTATGATGATGATCATGCTGATGGTAATGCTGATGATGAGCCTCCTGCTGATGATGCTGCTGTTGTTGTTGATGGTGATGATGTTGCTGATGATGATGCTGACGGTGTTGCTGATGATGGTGATGATGGTCATGATTCCGATGATTTTGCTGACGATGTTGATGATGGTGATGCTGGTGATGCTGTTGTAGCCGCTGACGATGATGATGGTGACCGCTGATACTGAGATTGATGACGTTGATGATGCTGGTGATGATGACTCTATGATGCTGCTGATGTTGATGCTCATGTCGGTGGCGATGCTGATGATGGTGATGGTCCTGCTCATGCTGATGGTGATGTCAATGATGATGCTGATCACGATGATGGTGCTGATGTTGGTTCTGGTGATGATGCGACGCTGATGCTGCTGATGCTGATGAAGATGATGCTGATGGCAATGATTATGATGCTGATGATGATGTGTATGCTGCTGCTGATGACGATGCTGATGATGATGATAATGATGATGACTATGAGGATGCTGATGTTGAGTATGCCGATGATGACGACGACGATGTTCCTGATGCTAGTTGTGACGATGATGCTGCTGATGGGAGTTATGCTGATTATGTGGTTATGGCGACGCTGATGATGTTGCTGGTGCGGCTGATGATGATGATGATGGTGGCTATGCTGAGGCTGATGCGGATGATGATGATGTTTATGATGATGCAGCGGATGGTGATGCTGGTGCTGTTGGTGTTGATGTTGTTGATCATGTTAATGTCGGTAATGCTGATGACGATTATCACGACGACGACGACATCGACGACGACGGTGCACATGATGACGATGGTGACGGTGACGACGGTGAAGAAAATGATAATGATGGGAAAGTGTGCTGCTGATGATGATGATGATGGTGATTGTGGTGGTGGTGGTTGGTGTGGTGGTGTTGGTGTTGGTGGTAGTGGGCATGCTGGTGGTGATGATGGTTGTGGTGCTGTCCATGGTAGTGATGGTGATGATGCAGATAGTAATGTTGATGGTCAGTATGTCGTTGACTATGTTGCTGTTGATGATGATGTTGGTCATGCTGATGCTGATGTTGACGCTTATGCTGATGATGCTAGTTGAGGTTATGATGGTGATGCAGCTGCTGCTGATGCTGACACTCATGCTGATGCGGATGAAGGCGACACCGACGACGATACGATGAGTATGATGATTATGTTGATGATGACGATGGTGATGACGATGCTTCCGACGGCGGCGACGACGATGACTACGACGACCACCATGATGACGACGGTGATGAGGATTATGATGAATAGGGTGCTGGTGACGTTGACGATGGTGGTGGCGATGATGCTTGTGGTGATGATGGTGATACTGATGTTGGTGGTGATGATGATGCTGACGATGATGATGATGATCATGGTGATACGGCTGCCATTGCTGCATCTGATGATGTTGATGCTGATGTTGGTGGTGATGCTGGTGCTGTTGGTGATGGAGGTGGTGCTGCTGCTGCTGCTGCTGCTGATGATGCTGATGATGCTGATGGTATGATGATGCGGATTATGATACTGATGTTGCCGCTGCTGCTGCTGCTGATGATGATGATGATGGTGGTAGCGATGTTGATGATGAGGATGCTGATTCAGACGATGATGATGATGATGATGATGATAGTGATCATCATGATGATGATGGTGATGTGATGATGTTGACGGTAGCGATGACGACAGTGATGATGGTGGTGATGAGGATGGTGATGATCGTCATGTTGGTGTGGGTGATTGTAAAGAGTGTGGTGATGAGTTGTGTTAATGATGATGATCATGATGATGCGGATGATTGTGTTGATGAGGATGGTGATGTTGATGATATCGATGTTGATGCGTATTATGGAAATGATGTTGTTGCTGTTGATGACGGTGTTGGCGGTGAAGATGACGGTGCAGCTGTTGATGGTGTTGATGATGATGATGATGGTGTTGTTGTTGATGCTGGTGCTGCTGATGCTGATGTTGATGATGACAGTGGTGATCATGACGATGACGTTGCTACTGTTGATGCTGGAACTTATGATGGTGATGACGTCGATGATAATGTTGGTAAGGATGAGATCGAGGGTGGCCGTGGCGATAATGATTATGAGAGGGATGATGATAATACTGGTGGTGGTGATAGGGTGTGTGATGATGATGATCTTGTTGTTGATGATGCTGCTGTTGATGCTATTGGTGATGATGATGTTGATGATTCGGTTGTTGCTGATGATTTTAATGGTGTTGTTGATGATGATGCTGGTGGTGATAATGATGATGGTTGTGGCGATGATCTTTATGATGCTTGTGATGCTGCCGCTAATGGCGATGATGATGGGGCTGACGACGATGATGACGCCGACAACGTTGGTTACGTATGGTGATGGTGACGACGACGACTACGACGACGACGACGGCGACGGCGACGTCGACGGCGACGGCGACGACGACGACGCTGCCGCTGCTGTTGATGATGCTGATTATGATTCTGATAAGTCCATTATCATGCTGATGCAGATGCCGCCGATTATGATCATTATAATGATGATCTCGATTATGATCTCTCATGAGTGTGATGATGGATAAC